GAGTAGAACATAAATGACTATGTGCAATATCTGGGTCATTTGAGTTTATCCTTTAAACTTTTAAAAAGTCCTCCCTTACATGCAATGGGTAATCATCTTACTCTAACCAGAATCTTAGCCATGAAATTTTGGGCTCCTGTGTTATTAAGTCACTACTAAATTATGTTTGCAAAATTCCAGTGGTTACACCAGGAAATTAATTGAAAAAAAAACCCTGGATTTATTTCTCCCTATATAGGGTAGGGACTAAGGAAGAGAGAATCAACTGTAAACTTGAGGTCAGCAAAAGTAATTGGGACCCAGGTCAGGTGTATAGCTGTTTGTGTCCAGGGAGTAAGATACACAGGCTAGCAGACCCTGGGTGAATGTCTACCTGCGACATCCTAGATGAGAACCACTAATATCATTCCATTGGCCTTGCTCTGCTTGCAGACTTACTTAGTAACCTTCATATAATTAATATGAATTTCTTCCTATGTTAATACCTGAAGTGAAGGTGCCTTGGATAAAAAAAAATGGCTTATTTGCTTGCTGCTTATCTGATCCACCCATCCACCCAATACATATTGAGTATCCCCTCCCTGCCAGACATTATTCTGTGTCCTAAGGACAACCACAGACTAAGAACAGACCCAAATCTCCTCCTGGTCAGAGGAGACAATTAAAAGAAAGCACATAATATGTCAGAAAGTATTATTATAGGAATATTATACAGCCGAGAAGAACTAAGTGAATGCCTATAGGGACTTGCTAATTCCAATATAGAGCCAGGAGGGTCCAGGCAAAAGGAAGGAGAGAGGGGAAGCGTAGAGGCATTGCAATCTGAAGGGAGAGTCAGAGACCTCTTCTTGACACATACAAGGCATATGGGGCCAGAGTGTGACTTTAATCCTCTGGATAGGCAAGACTATTCCACACCATGGAGACATGTTAACACAGAAGTTTGATGTCTGGTTTGCATTTCTGACTCCTTGGAGTTTAACTAAACTAAGTCTATTGTCTTAGGAGATTGAAGTAATTCTTAGAGTTCTTTGCATATTTAACTTTATAGCCCTGAGAAGTTGGAGACATGACTTGTTTTATGGTACTAGGGATGGAACCCAGGACCTCACACCTTCTGAGTGCTCTACTGCTGTGTTATAGGCCCTGCTCAGACTTCAAGGATGCGACTCAGAGACTTAGCAGTTCTTTTGTGGTGATGTTCTCTTTGTGACCAGCTCTGACCCCTAACCCTGATATCACCAGAATAGTGTCAACAGGCATTTGAGTGGCAGTGGTGTACTACGTAGTGAGGGATCAAAACTAGTCCTTGTTCAAAGGGCAGCTTCAAGCATATATTGAAATACGGAGTCTTATAAGTGGAATAAGAGAATTGCTCGAAGTAAAGTTCATTTAAATATCTCTATGGACTTTACCAGGGGGGATCTGGGTTTGAATCATGAAATTGAATTTCACCAACTGTGGAATGTGAAGTTAGTTATGTAAGTGATCTGGGAGTTTGGCTTTCTCTCACAAGGGTCAGACCCCAAACCAAAAGTGTGGTTCTAAGATTCATGAAGTCAGTGCCTGAAAATGCTCAATAGCACTTATTCCCCACCATTGCCTTCATATCTCAATTTCTTCTTTCTCCTGCATGATTCAGAATTGCTGTCCACACTGAACTGTGATGAGACTGTCATTAATCATCAATTTTGGTTCCAGAGACTTCCAACATTATGGTTGAACAGGGGAGCCCAGGCTGCTGTGCTGAGGCCAACCTTGACCCCAGTGGTCTCTTTGTATGCACTCTCTAGCACCCCCACCCTCCTACAGAGCCCAGAATGGAAGTGAGGTGCTGAGTTGAAAGTCCTCGGTACTTGGCCATTGCTCATCAACATTAAATCTTCATCTGTATAATTCCTCTGACCCCCCCTGCCCCCGTAGTTTTGAGGAAAATTTTTATAAGAATATATGTATGAATTACATAATGCCATGTAAAAGTAAAAAAAAATGGTGAGCTCCAGTGGTTTGTTTTATTGCTAATAATGATGAAATAATAAGTTATCCTTGAGTCTGAACATTGGGTGTCAACTGCATGGGAATGGGGACAATCATCACTAGATTTCTAAGGCTACCCCACTAGTCTCTTGAATGTCACTCTTGAAAGCATTTGTAGATGTGGTTAAAAGTGCGATCAGTTGGTTCTAAGTAAAATAAATTATCCAGTAGGTCTCCTACAATTAGTTGCATAGCCTTGAAAGCGGAAGGGAGGCTTCTCTGCAAGATTCTTCCTCAAGACTGAAGTCTTGGTAGCTACACTAGCTTCTAGACTGAGAGTCTGACCTTCAGACTGTGCGCTCTTAAAGCTTCTACAACTCCACAAACCGGTTCTTTGAAATGGGTCTCTATGTGCACATATGCATACACAGATTACTTCTAGCAATTGTTTCTGTTTCTCTGGAGAACCCTGTGTAATTCAGGTGTGTCTGAAGGCTTGTTCATTTTTGTCAAAAATTCCCTTTTTATGGTGCTGGGGATCAAACCTGGGGCCTTTTATATTAGGTAAGTGTCTTATCATAGAACTTCTGTCTCAAGTTTGCCAGGAATTCTTGATAGACGGCTGAAGCAGGATAGTGGCAAGTTCAAGGCCTGCCTGAGTTCATGACCAGTATGGGCAATTTAGCAAGATGGTTATCTCAAAACAGAAAATTAAAGAGGTGGAGGGTGATATATAGCTCATATCTAGCACATACAAGGCCCTGAGTTTAAACTGTCAATACTACAGAGATAAGCAACAATTCTTTATGCTGCTTCAACCATGCGATAGGATTTTATAGAAATGAAGTCTCAATAGCACCACATTGTACATTCCATTTCTATCAGCATGCTAAAATTCCCTTTGGTCAAGGCTAGGCAACCTGACTCCCATCTCTACTATGGCAATGACTGACATGGTCTAACCTATTAGGGTGACAAGGAATGTCAACTGGGTTCTAAATGGACAACAGAGTGGATGCAATGCCAAATTCACAACTTGTCTGAAAATATACCCATACGATGAGATCGCAGAGTTAAAACTGGTTGGCATGCTCCTCGCCAGGTAAAAATCAGACCTTACCTGGGACACAAAATCCCTGTTGTCGATAAGAAAAACGTATTTGTGCAATGATGGCTGCACCACAGTTTCTAGAGTGAATGCACAGGAGGACAAATGGCAATGCAGAGAGATATTACACAGAGGATAAATCTGCTTCATTTCTACTAGGCTGCCCTTAATCGTATGAAAATAAACCTTTGGTGGAAAGTGAGATTAAAAACTGTGACATCATCTAAATTTAGAGCCGCTGCTCCAAGCTAGAAATTTGAGTGGGCTCCAAATTTCATTTTCTTGTCTCCTAGTTAATTTTTCTACTTTATCCTTTTTCTTTGTTGTAAAGCTTCCTCATAGCACTTCTAGAATTTGGAGGAAGAAAACAAAGACCTCTTTCCAGGCTTCTGATTTCCTATTTCCTTGCTTGTGTATTTCGTTAGGTGCTGTCTTCAACCATTTCTTCTACCTTCCTATAAATTTGGTTATCAGAGATTGAAATCAAGGGCAGGAGTCAATCCTGTTTCTAGAAGAGAAGTCGAGAAGGAGTATAAACCGGCAATAACCTGCCAAGAACAAACTCCCCTAGAGAGCAGGAAGGTTCCAGGTAGCTAACGAGACCAGAGCAAGAGGTTGTTAATGACCAAGATGTTCTTTGCAGGGCTGCACTGCCTACACAGAGGCAGAACTGAAAGCGAGGGAAGACATCTGGCCACAGACAGCAGAGAGATGCCTTTAAGCAGAACTAAACTCTCAGCCCCTCCCCCACCCGCCCTCCACAGCACCATGTGATGCCGGAGCACCACAATGTTCTTTTCTAATTCACACGGACATGCTCTTACCTACCTCTGTGCCTCCTCAGTTGGTTTCTTGTCTTAATCTTCCTTTCTAATTTCCAGTCCTTCTCTAATCTGCGTTCCTTTCATCCCTGATGTGAATTTACAATATTTCTTGCCTCCTCACCCATTTCCATCATACAGTCTCCTCCTTCATCTGTTTGCTGAGTTTTATCAAGCTTTCAAAAAAAGATCCTTTCACCGCTCCTCTTAAACTCCCCCCCCCCCCAACCCGGTTGAAGTGTTGTGGTTTTAACTGTTGCTTTGGGTTTTAATCCCAGTGACTTTCTCTTGCTGAATGGAGAGGAATTTTGTCACTACAGAAAGCCAGGGACGACCCAAAACATTCAATTCACAGTGCAATTGTCTGTTTCATACTGTGGTGCTCTTGGCTGGATTAGCCATGGGCTGCTTGCTTCTACAGGGTAGAGCACTTCAGCCCTCAGACTCACATGGCAAGGCATGTCAGAGCTTCGGTTTTCACACTGATGGCTACAATTGTGGGGAAAAAATGCTTTTCAGAGGAAAGAGCTTACCTAAGTGTTCCTGAGAGGAAAACCAAGAGCAATGCTATTTTATTTGGTGAGGAACCAGGCTGCCATTCCTCAGCCCATTCATTTCTACTCTAACCCCATCATTTTACACAGGAAACAAAGACACACAGTGGGCTCCTGGGAGGCGGGTGTAACGCCATTCTGTCCATGCCCATCTGTTCAGTGAAAGCCTGCAAAAGCTACTGAGCCTGTTCAGTAAAACAGATCTCTGATCAACCCAACCGGAAGTAAAACCTTTATATGAAACAACAAATAGATAAACTCTTTAGGATCATGAGATTTTGTTATCTGACATTAGAAAATATCCTATCACCACAAAAACATTATGCACATTTTACACAAGGATTTCACTTTGCTTTTTCAACACTTCACATGGTCTATGTAGTTTTAGACTTTGAAAATAATCCCTTGGTGTAAGCTTGCCTGTGTATTCACTTTACCTTCGTGTGCTCCTCGGGATGTAGGCCTCATTCCTCCATGATGAGGGTGTGCAGAGCAATCTGCCCTCAGGAGGACCTGCCACGTTGTCATTAGAAAGGATACTTGTGATCAAATCCATACCACATCCTGAAGAGCTGTGCACTCTCTGTCTTTGTTGGGTTTTTATCCAACTTATTTGCTTCCTGGAGAGAGACCATAGAAAATGGTACATCTTAAATATATGTCAAACCAAATCCAATTTAACTACATTACTAAAGAAACACTTTAAAAAGTCTAGGCATGTTCATCTTAATGGTGAAAGAGTTTTCAAATTAGCTCAGGATCTTACTATATGGGTGAGACTTTTTTTTGGCACAGTTCAGCATTCTCTTTCTTAATCATCTCAATTTTACTGGACAGCTAAGAGATACCACTTTTGGATCCTAGTGAAAATGGTGCTTCTGTCACATTGCTGTTGTAAGAATCTTGCGGTCCATTTAAATCAAATCTAGGTGACATTTATTTGCAGATTATCAAGAAATGACTAGAGAAATAATAGCCTAATGACCATTACACTGGTTTTTGTTCACTTTCTTTTTGATAGCTCACTATTAGAGGCTGTGATTGGTTTTTACCTTTCTGTTAAGATTAGAAACAGTTCAAAGAGATGTTCCTGATGGGAAACCAATATGAACTGGAGGTGTGCTTGTTTCTTCCTACCCACAAGTGCCATAAAATCAGGGAGAAGGCAAAAGAGACAAAAGAGAAAGAAAATGCACTCGATGGCAGAGCAGAGGATGAAAGAGGAGAAACTGGAAAGAAGGCAACTAGAAAGGTTTTGTGCTAAAGATGCTTGCACTGCAGTAAGATGGATCTTCAGGAGCATTTTGTTGTCTGATTATTGCATTTTGCATATTAGGAAAAGTGAATTCCAATCAATCTCCATTGTAACAACCTCTTACACTGTAGGTTTAGTGTGGAATTTCTGCTTTTTCTGGGCTCAGAATTTCCACTTCAAACTATACTATGGCTTGGCTGATCAACAATAAAGTAAGCATTGTTCTGATGCACGATGACTCATGGAAGACGACGAAAACCCACCCCCCATGCTCAAGCCAGCCCTCAAGCACAGCTTGATTCGATTTCATTGTCTTTAGCTTGTTTCTTGCTCTTCCCAGCTAGCTCCATTATTGATAATGATGAATAACTATGCTTGCTCTGTGAAATGTACCAGAGAATGCTACAGATCCAAGAAATAGGAATACAGGACAGGTGATTGTGTCCCATTGTTGTTCACCATTTCCCCTTTGTTGAAAATGGTGCAGCAGACTCACACTGAAACCAAACCCAAACTCATCATCTTTATGTCTTAAGATCTCTAACATATCAAAACTGAAAGCTTCTTATGTGATGCTCCCTGAAATACCACTGTTCCTATCATACTGATGGACATTATGAGGACAGACAGGCTAGACAGTCCCCTAAATGTTCCTTAGCAGTCCAACATCCCAACCTTTTGTTTTGTTTTGTTTTTGAGACGGCACCTCACTACATAGTGCTGGCTGTCCTGGAACTCACTCTGTATACCAGACTGGCGCAAACTCATGGAGATCAACCTACCTCTGCCTCCTGAGTATTGAGGTTAAAGACCTGAGGCACCACCTTCTAACCTATTATAATAACCATTGAAAAAAATCTTCAAGTGGGTAATGTTTTCATACCTACTGGACTGTGGACCTCATTTTCTGTTCCCAATCTTTCCATGACGGCCTGTTGTCTCTCATGGGCATTATGAGGTCTTTGGTGTAAGAATGATGAAGTGCCATGCCTTGGTATCAAGAGTTAGAATTTCTTGTTACCTCTCACTAAAGGAAACATAGTCATCTGGTTTGATCTCCTCATACTTCCCTGTGTCTTTTTGTATGTGTTTACCCAAAAATGACATCCGAGCAACTGCTTCATACAGCAATTTCTGCATCACGAGGCAACCTGTTTAGGAGCCTCTATTGCCCACAACATGCCAGGGTTCAGCTGCCAGAGCAAAACTTCTCACAATGAACTGGACTAGTTAAGGGAGGTCTACATAGAATGTGGGAACTTTCTTTATAAATTTCTCCTTTTTTTCCCCTTAAGAATAAGGACTTTTGGAGTTTTACCCACCAACCATCAACAGGAATGGATAAAAATAGTCACTGAGTAAAGTTGAGAAAAGGGAGGGCTAGACCCCCCATTTTTATAAAGAAAGAGTAGGTGTTGAGATGGTAAGCTTGGGTAACATTGGAGGCTCAGCTGCCAGTCTTCAACAGCCCAGATGAGTGGCTTTGAAATAATGACAGTTCCTAGCTATTGAATGCTCATTAACTTCCAGGCAGCATGCTAGTCACATTATTCAGCTATTAATTTTTCCAATCATTATTTTTCAATTTTTGCCACAATCCATCTAGCTTGGTTGAGTTCTAGCTAAATTTTGTACTCAAGGACCTAGAGACCCCCAGAGAAGGGAAGATGTGAAGGTAGTCACATGGTTACCAAGAAATGGCAGCGATTTGAGTCTAGGACTGAATTGCTAGACTCCAAAGATAATGTTTCCTCCAAGGATCTCATATTTAAACTGCGGAGAGCATAGCCATTCTCTAGCGGGTAACATAATTTCACAGTGCTTTCCTCCCTTCCCTTTTCTTCCTTCCTCATATTTTTTTCAGATGCTGACCTCAAACTTGACATCCTCCTTCCTCAACCTCATAAATGCTAGGATTACAGCATATTCAGTGTGGGTTACAGTTTCTTTTGTTTTTTTGTTTGTTTGTTTGTTTGTTTTTGGTTTTTACGAGACAGGGTTTCTCTGTATTGTTTTGGAGGCTGTCGGTCCAGCCTGGCCTCGAACTCAGAGATCCGCCTGCCTCTGCTCGGATTAAAGGCGTGCGCCACCACCGCGTGGCTGGGTTACAGTTTCTTAATCTTAAAATTAATTGAGGAAATCAGACTGTTGGGTCTCTAAGGAACTAAGACCATTTGGAATTACTGTATTTATATTACTGACCACTATAACAGCAGTGGGTGCTTCTTGAGCACATGCCAGTCAATGTCAGACAACATACTAAAAGATTTTGGTCATTGTAGATTCCGATGATAACAAGTTATGAAAGTGTGTTTTTTCATTACCTCTGTTTTAAAGACAAGGAACCCAAGGTGAATAGAGAACATGGAGATCTATCTCTAAGCACATTTTAATTTCTCCAGAAACAGGAATTCTTTTATCCAGCTAGAGCTCTGGGGTAAACAGGAAGCCAATGGGGGCACCAAGGGGTCTCTGAGCAGGAAGACAAGGTCAGGACACCGAGACATGAGAGGGAACAGCTACACACAACTTAGACTCAGGCATTCTTTTCAAGTGTTTTCTGCGATAACTCCCCTTTCCTGTCTTTCCTTTCCCCCTCCTTTTAATTTTGTTTCCTAGGGATACAAAATTGGAAGTCAGAAGCATCCCTGGGAGGACATTTTTCTGCAAAAACTTCTACAGATTTTATTTATTTATTTATTGGTCAGCTAAAGGGTACAGTATGTAATTAAAAACAACCTTTATTTCAGCTGAGTTACTGGAGATGCTATTCATCTACTTTATAAAGAAGTAAATGGAGTTCTAATTCTAATAAAACAGGGGTGGAATGTCTTTTCCCAGGTGGGAAAATTCTACTGATGACCAAGAATTGACCGTTTTGCTGATCATAGTTAAAAATTTCAATATGTATCTTAAACATCTATTGGCCCAGATCTGGATCCATTCATTTACTTCTCTGGAGTTACTGATGACTTAATAACTTGGTTATGAGAGGCCATTAATAAATGAGCAGAAATAAATGAGTTACTCCAGTGTGTGTTCTGTTTGTGCAGTGGGGGTTAAAGATAAAGGTGCCGAGGGAAGGCCAGCCCTTACAGTCACAGCGGAGTGGGGACAGTAAGCACAGCATTGGAAACAGGCCCTCAGAAGGGTCCTAATGTGCAGAGGACAGGAGGGCATCAATCTTATTCTGAAATAAAGATCAGCACATGCTTCAAGGATAACGGATGTGAGCAGTCACCAGAAGGAGGGTGAATCTACAGCTCCATGGTGGTTTTCTTATCACTAACCATAGTTAGTTTCTTTATTTCGGGGAAGTGATACGTACGCATTTTAGAACAAGCATAGGATACAACATATCCTCACCTTTTCTACTCCCAGATGAATTCTTAAATGTTTTCAAGACCAAGATTGGGACTCTCTTCCATTGAATAACAATGATACACTCACCAACTCAGAGCCTCAGGTTTCCCAGCTCTGCATGGGAACTGGAAATTCAAGAGCGTTGAATTGTACCTTTTATTTACCTTGCTACGTCTAAGAAGCAGGATGATGGATGTATATGGAATTTCTGGCTCCCTTATTATCTTCTGTTTCTGGGAACATTTAAAAATGGCTAGGCAATCTGATCTTTCTCTCCCTTCCCACCCCCACTCTTTGAACAAGGGAACAGAGTAGAGATTGGGAAATGACTGGGCACAGCAGGAAGTGAATAGTTTTCTTTTACTGAGTCCCTCATGTGTGGCACCACCCTGGGAGGAAAATTATGATGGTCTTCTTTGTCTTGGGTTCATTTGGACTGGTGAAGGAAAAACCAAAGGCTCTGGCCAGAATCCTATAAAAACCAGACACAGAAGCAAGGAAGGATTGTGTGCTGCATGGGCTTCAAAGAAAAGTACTGAGCAAATGTGAAGGCTTGCTCCAAATACTATGCAAATGAGGCTTTCCCTGACTGGACTGGGAACTCTCCAGCAGGTATCCACATGGGCTGTTGCTTATTTCAGATGGGCACATTGAAGGAGTGTTTTCCTTTCTCTTTCTCGGTATTTCATATTCAATACTAATGTAAGTAGAAGTTAAGTGAAGTGATTATTAAATGGATTCTGAAATTGCTTCCACAATGATGTGAGGTCCCTTCTGGATTCCCAAGCTGCTTTTCTGTGGTCCATATAAATGAAATGGCTTTGGTATTTTGCCTTATCACCTCTGTCCTGAGAGTCTTATTTGGCAATTTCAAATTTATGCCTTGATTTACTAGTTACTCAGGAGAGAACTAAATTTTGTGCCCTTAAAGGGAAAGATTCCAGGATTCTGAAGGGAGCTCATAGCATATGAGGGCAAATGGAAAAATTTTTAAGTTACCTT